TTAATTAACTATCAATTGACAATTCTTATCCTATAAAACAACTACTCATAATAAACTAATGTATATAAAGAAATTATGAATATTATGTGAATATTAAAATATAGCCAAGCAAGGAAAGGTGGTATGAGAAACATTAAGGAACCGCACACATTCTTGATTGTGAAGTAACATTTAGTTTCAGTTTAAAGGGTAAGATCATACGAATATGAGCCCGTGGCAATTGTTTTTCCTTCTCATTTAATCTGTTCTATAAATGCCGGGCAAACGGAAGTATACACTCATGTTTGTTTTATGTTGGTCTAAAAATGATCAAACAAGAAATGGATATTCGATGGTGTATTTGATACCGATATCATGTGTTTTTGACCTCAGATTTGCAGTGTTTCGGCGATTTTTTCAGCCTAGCAACGTTTTGATGACGTTATTAATGTTTTGGTGAAATGAATTTTCAAGTGTATACTTTCTTTTGCCCAGCAGTTTACAATAGTAATATATAATAATGCTGACTTATATCTCATAAATAAAAAGATGTGTATTTTCGAACAGATGCCGAACATCAATATTGAAAAATATATATTTCAACGGCACATGACATTAAGATGATTCACTCAAAACAGTCAAAACAATCACAGACATTACGATGTCACGGCAACCCAGTCTCAGACATGCATGCATCTGTGAAACGTATTCGCCACAACACGATGTGAGACATGCGATCGAAAAATCCCTTTCCAACAACACTTTATAGATATATGGAATATCTCAGCCGTTGCTGTTTTTTCCGTTAGAAAGATTTAGAGGCTGGCTTTCATAATCCAATCTTAGCACATTGTGTACTGTACGTTCTCCAGGTCATGTCATACAGGTCACAGAGGATGAGGTGATTATGTGAAATGGGGTTAAACATCGCGTCCAAGGTTATTGCACTTATATAGCGACGTGCATGCATGTGTTTGTGTGTTTGTGTGTGCGTGCGTGCATGCGTGTGCGTGTGGCTGCATGCACATGTCCGGACTAATGCCGATTTTTTGTGTGGGCTGGCCCACTGAGATACCATGCCGCAGTTTAACAGGAATACCCTACTCAGACACAGTATTGTAGCAGTGTTGTATATATGTGTGTTTTCTGTATTTTGAATATATTGTAATGAAATGATGTTTAACCGATTACTATGTTGCATTAAATTGAATAAACCCGTATAGCTGTTGTAATCTACAGCGCTGCTTTGACCAAAATAATGACTTCATCTCTGCATGGAGTCTTTTATTCAACTTTTACGAGCTGTGGGGTGGGGTTGATAGCTTGGGTCGGTCCTTCGGTTACGCATGATTGGCCTTGTTTTAAAGAAGAAGAAGAAGAAGAAGAAGAAGAAGAAGAAGAAGAAAATTGTTTTATTAGAGTGTCACATGCTGCAGTTCAAAATATATGGACATATAAACATTTCATTAAAAAACAGCACCCGGCCAGTTGGCCTACGAGACACTAATTACATAATGGTACATTTAAAATATAAAAAAATAAAAAAAATAAAATTAGTTGTAACTTTAAATACTAACATCCAGCGTTTAAGCAGCACACCAGCCACTACACCGTGACCATGTTGACAACCTACAACAGTCATTTGCTTTTTATGTAATATTTCATCTCTTGAGATCGTCCTAACAGGTTAGGAATGTTTCTATACGTATTGTCATAATGTACTCGTATCCATTTGTATCTTAATACTTCATAAGTCAATACATATAGTCATATAATTGCAGCCGTTTACATGTTTTAACTAGGTAGGTAAGTTTCTAGAGAAATCCAGCACTGTATATCTACACCTTTTCTAAACGTTTCATTTGAGAATGAGTGAGCGAGAGCGTATGTACTTATTATGTATGTTTTTGTTTATAACAGGGTTATTTATGTATAATGTAAAGCGCTCATAGGTATGTTATGAGTAATATATAATTCATGTTTGCTAAGATTTTCCTAAGTGAGTATATTTGTCTTTGTATTTGTATTTAGATGCAGGCATCATAGTGTGGTCAGTTGATATTTGGGGAACTCGGTTCGCGCCCCAGTTTTACCTACGTCCTTGTATTTTCTTGTGTATTGATATAATCAATAATTATATTTATCATATCATTACGCCTGTGTAGGGATACAAATGTATATATAGTTATTGTAAGAACAATTCCTTCAATGAATTTTTTAAAAACATATATACCTGTATATTGCTATTTGAAGTATATGTTTCGGGGCGTTTGTTCTAGCCGTCGTAAATAAATCATCCTTACATTCAACGACCCGTGTTTTTTAAGAACATCCCCGGTTACAAATGGAGCTCCAGGTCAGGAATAGGCAGTAGCGGATCACAAATATTCGATGGACGACGCAACTCAGATGTAATGCTTCACACCCGGTTTACACAGTACTCAGCCAAGACCACATGGCCTATTTGGTGTATAGACTCTGACTTAATCGATCTGCTGTCAGGAGTGAATGTCAAATCTCTAAATTGAGCCAACCAGTCCTTGTTTTAGCTTATTGATGACAAGCGCCAAATTCCCTCTTTTGACATCTTTTGGTATGACGCTGACGGGGTTCGAACCCCAGACTTCCGCTCTCCGGGCGGACGCTAGACCACGGAGGTGGTCAAGAGTGCATGATTTATACAGGTATCACCAATAAACAAAATGTAAGGTTTTCAGTCGCATTTGATTGAGTAAAGTTCTAAATATGCTGAACATAATTTTGTTGATAGAATGTAGACTGGGTCCGTGGTCTAGTGGAGAGAGTGTGGAAGGTCAGTGGTTTGATCCCCTGGCCGTGTTAAAAAACAAATGATGTTAAAATGTTGGTACCTGTTGTTACCCTAAAATAAGCATGTGTTTTATCACTATCAAACAGTGATGATACCAGTTGTACGCGAGAAGGTGAGCATATCCTGCCCTATCGGTGGCACCTTCACAAACACATGCAAAGGCAAGTAATTGTTCATTTGAAAAACACGGGCACATTGGAACACAACATAGCAGCTTTGCAGATTTTAATACTTTAGGGCATGCATAATTACAAACGTTTGACCCAAATTTTAAAAAGGGAAGCAGACTTTAAAAAAACGGCAGGCGAAACCCGCCACTGAGGGGATTCCCTTACTGGGGTTAAACCGGTTTCCGGTGCAACGATCGGGCCGGCGCCCAGTCTGTCTGGTGGTTGTTAGAGGGTCTTCCTACTTTTGTTATAGGTACAAATTCACCCGAGCCTGGTGATTGGTAAGACAATAGGGGATCGGATCGGATTAAGGAGGGACACAACTAACTGGTGATTATCTCACAAAAGGTATCGACACAACTAATTGGTGAACTATATTCACATACAATTGATTGAGTGAAAGTTTTAAAAATTTATATCAGTGAGTGAACTTATTAATCATTTAGAACGATTTGGGCTATAAAGGAATATATTGCAATCAGGAAACAGTATTCCGCTATGGTAACTCTGCAGGTTGATTGACAGTTTTTTTCCAAATTCTAAGAGGGGTCGGCAGTTGATTGGGAACAGAAGTCAAACTTCCATTTATTGGACATGTTTCCAAAGAGGATGCCCAACCACCATTAACACCGAAGATGGCTTTGTCGCGAAGCACAATAATATGTCACTGAGCAGTGGGTCGATGTCAACAAGTCATCTAAATCTGTACAAATTCATTAATATACTGCAGGATAAGCAAGACAATACTGCGATCACAATCATTTTTGGGATAACAACTACTGGTTTATTGCACATAGCGACGATATATACCTCTCTCTACTTGGTTGTTGTCAGCTTGATAACAGTGTAAGAATCTACATCGAAACGTCGCTATATGCCATAACCCAGAAGTTGTTTTCCATAAAGTTGTACGTTCTACGTTTTCCTATTTACTCAGCATCTTCTAGAATCAAGCAAGGGGCGGTCGAGTAGCCTAGTGGTTAAAGCGTTCGCTCGTCACGCCGAAGACCCGGGTTCGATTCCCGACATGGGTACAATGTGTGAAGCCCATTTCTGGTGCCCCCCGCCGTGATATTGCTGGAATATTGCTAAACGCGGCGTAAAACCATACTCACTCACTCACTAGAATCAAGCAGTGAGTGAGTGAGTGAGGTTTTACGTCGCTTTTAGCAATTTTCCGGGAATATCATGGTGGAGGAAGCCACCCAAGAAGAAGTTTCGAAAGCCAGACCATGAGAGGGAGAAAATACTTCTTGCGAACCAGAAACTAGTAAACGATTATCGCAATGCTGTTCACTGTCAGTTAGACTGTGAATTATGTAAATTTGACATGAGAAGGAAAAACGTATCTGTTGTGTATTTTTGTGTCGCAAATCGTTGACAATGTCTTACAAAACACCGCCCACCCCCACAGTGTTTGATATGACCCCAGCTTAAACAAACACGATGGGGATTATCCCTTTGCCAGCTGTCAGAAGTAAAATGCTAGTTACCGATTGCTAGTTGTTATTTTAATTATTTACAATCTCAAGATCAAAGGTGACGTTTCACACATCAACAATGTATGCAATAGAATATGTATAACTGCTAAGAATCACATAACAGCTTTTGTCACGAACCAGTGAACGAACCGACTGCGCCCGTACCCAAATGTCTGTTTTGGAAGCCAATAACGGATCGTGTGATTTCAGCACTTTCACTTGGACTTTTAAATACTTCCTTTGAAGGTTATGATGTTTTCGCTCTCGGAAATTGATTTAATGTATCCAGGAAAATATATATTCGCAAAAAGATCGCAATAATGTATTTTCAGTTTACTTGCTCTTTCATGGGATAAAACAAGGACCGGTCGGCTCTGTGTCAGTGCAATGTATCGGAGTAGGGTATCCATGCAAAACTGCTGCTTCTCAGTTAGGTATCTATACCGTTGTCAAGCAAGGCTACTGTTTGGACAGGATACGTTCCCATTTTACGGAACACCTGTCACTTCCATTTGAAATAGAAGAACGCTCGTCTAATACATAGAAACTATTTTATTCCTGCTATGGAAATGGACACAAACAAACAGATACATATGTTGTTAAATATAATAAATTAGTTTTACTTTGAAACGTGCGAAACATTTGTAGAAAGACTTGATATAGGAATGTGGTAGGGAATAATGTAAAATGTCAGACAGATATTGGAATTATATCACGGAAAGCATGAAATACATTTATGACATAAATGTGGAATTTATTCTTATATCATCTATAGAAGGTAAAAAAGACATGGCACATATTGGTCCTAATGTTTGTGGCTGGTTAGTACAGGGATGTGTGGCGAGGTAGGTTGTAGTGTTTAAGACAATATAGTAAAACCAGGCACAATAGAACCCTCGTTCAACCGGACGGCTCCTTCCGGGCGATTTCAATCTTTTGCGCACGACAATCTGTGTGCAGGTAATCCTGAAACCATTTGATCTGGAAGGTGAAGGTGAAGGTGAAGGTGAAGGTGACCGAAATATTCTGATAACGAGGTCCCAATGAATTACTGAGCAATATGGTCAACGTTCTAGTTACGGGCGATGGATACTGAGCGACGGTTCCTGGACCGCATCTTCAGAAGAGCTTGCTCAGCAGAATCTGCTCGTTCCTGAGCATCCTCGAACTCCTGCTGTGCACGGCGGTATTTGTTGAGATTTGTGGCTGCCATTTCCTCCTGAAACAGAAAAGGGCGAAGAGTGAGTCCCTGAATGCATGTCAATATAATTCATGAATTGTCAGTTATGTTCTCACAGGCCGTTTTAATTTGCTTCCAAAGCATGTCATGAGTCTACTGTAAGATGTGAAAGTTACAACAGCCAATTATCGCTTTGTGGCACGGGACCAAAATCTTTGTGATCATTATGAATATATCTTGCTAAATTATTGTTTAACGTAATATTAGCTCATCACTTTGTCTTTCGCTCAGTCCGAAAGTAGCACATGCAGCCATCCACCAAGGCTCAATTGTACTGTTTGGTAACGATTATCCCTACCATCATTTATTGGTTACTATATATACTTACAGATTCTTCAATCTGGGTCTTCAGGGTCTTGATCTTGGCATTGAGCTTCTCATTGATCGCCTGGAGTCTTTCCTGGTGTTTCCTATCCTCATCCACCTGGAAGGCGGTTTCCTTGAGGCGGCGCTCAGACAGTCGAGATGTCTTAGAGGTTTCAAGATGGCGGCGCTGTTCTTTGTCCAACTCAGTCTCAAGCTCACGAACCTGGGAAATAAAATGTGTATAATAAGTGGTCGGACCTCTCAAATCTTTCATCACTGGGGACTTAATGTTAGCCATAGAAACGAACAAGCGATACATACAGTTTAAATATAATTTGGCAGAAACTCTATGCCAAAGATCATTAACTGATAGTTGTATTTGTTTTAAAAACAACAGTTTAAGTACCTTCTGTTCCAGTTTCTGCATCACCATCTTGCCTCCCTTGGCTCCAGAGGCTTCAGCCTCATCAACTCTGACCTGCAATTCCTTCATCTGAATATCCATGTTTCTCTTAATCTTATCCATTTGCCTGCTGTGTTCTTGCTCAGAGCGGAGCTCCTCTGCAAGACGAGCAGCATCAGCTACAGCACGTTTGTAGTTGTCTTCAGCTGTTTTCACCTCGGCTTGAACATCTTCAAGATCAGACTGTACAGTGGTCATGTCGATGTCGTGTTTTCTCTTCTGGGCCGTCAGAGTAGACACCTGAGCTGTGAGCTCGTTCACTCGAGTTTCAGCATCCAACAGTTCAGATTCGGCAGCCTTGCGGGCACGCTCACCGGATTCCAGAGCCGACCTCATTTGATCTATCTCTCCCTTCATGGTGTTAAAGCGGCGGTCTAGACTTTGGTATGCTTCACGAGCCTCAGCACAGTTTCGTTGTTCCTCTTCCACCATGGCTTCAAACTCCTGTAAAAACATATTGATTCATTGATTTGATTTGTACAGTTGCAGTATAATCGTGTTTCAATGGAATTTGCGAAGATACATTGTCATGGCATATTACATATGTCTGATAATATATGTACTAACCTTAGCTTGAGCCTGGTATTTCTTGGCATAGTTCTCGGTTTCGGTTCTAGCCCTGTTGGCTGTGTCAACTACAACTTCCAGCTCGGCAATGTCCTGTTCCAGAGTTTTCTTTACCCTTATAGCGTCCATCTTGCTCTTGTTCTCAGCATCCAGACTAACTTGCATGGAGTCAAGAGAGCGCTGGTGGTTGCGTCTAAAAATATATGACATAAAATAAAAGGTCCATTCCACAATCCTTGATTTCTGCTAAGCAGTTATAAATGGTAAATTATGAATATGTTAAATGATGAATGTGTATATGCCAGGTCATAAACTGTTGTGAAGATACTTTATATTTGTGCATAAACATGATAAAAAGTTGACCTTAATATGAAGGAGGGAAGAGATACTCGTTCTTGGTTATTGTCATTCTGTTGTGACAGCACAATACAACTGACCTCAAGTTATCGATCTCTTCCTCTTTCTCAGTAATACGTCTCTCTATATCTGCACGTGTGTGTGAAACCTCTTGCTGGGCACGCATAACCTTCGCCTCCTCCTGTTCAAGAGCAGCTTCTGCTTCTATCAAGGCGGCCTGCAGTTCCTCCTTCTCTAACATGAGCCGTTTCTTTGCCTTTTCCATCTCACTGACACTGTGACCATCATCAGTCAGTTGCCTATTCAGCTGAACGGTTTCATCTGAAATCAAGTTTCGATTATTCATCCAGTGTTTTTGTATTTGAATTGATAAATCGAAATAAGAATACAAGAAGTTCCTATGTATAATCAGGCTGCATTATTATGTGGACTCACCAGCTAGATTCTTGTTCTCCTTCCTCAGTGACTCCATTTGGCTTTGACATTCCTCCATTCCACTTCGGAAGCGGAATAATTCGGTGGAATACTCTCTGGATTCCTTCTGAGCACATTCCAACTCGACTTGAAGGTCCTTCACCTTTGTCTGCCATTCCTGAGCGGTTTTGTCGAAGTTTCGCTGCTTCTTCTCCATGTTATGAACAGTAGCATTAGCCTGCAATGAGAATAGTATATGATTTCCATGGGGATTTACATCAGGGTTTACAGCAAATGTACTCTGATTCAAAGAATTCCCATTTAGATCTTTTAGCTTTAATGCATGGTGAATTTAACCCTTGTGTTAACAATATTTTCTGTAACTGATGTAATATATATTATTTTGTAATGCATTGACAACCACTTTACTGTCCTTAAGTAACGTACTGTCGTTGCGACATTATTTTGAAAGCCACTCATTCTCATCATACTGACATAGATATGGATGGTGGTTTGTGTTACTTGAAGGCGTTCATGCATTTATCGATAAACTCTGTATCTTGAGCTGTGGCGTTTGATACAGAGCAATACTACACTAGCATCACACTGCTGACTGTAAGTAATTATCGATGGTAGCAGAGTTGACATACCCTCTCAACGTCTATCATGAGATCTTCGAGCTCGCCGTCAAGCCTTGCTTTAGCCTTCTCAATGGAACTGCATTTAGCTTGTGTCGCTTCCATTGCTTGCTCAGTTTCACTCAACTTGACTTGGAGACGGCGTCTAAAATTCAAATTAAGGGTGTCTTATTGACAGATTTGGAATTACTTTTTGCAAAGAGATTATATTCTTTACAAAGTGATTTACATATCCGGAAATTCGTTTAATCAAACGGATCCTTGAAAACCTGTACACAGTTTACAAATACTTTTATCTTTAAATTTTTATGTTATTAATTGATGTGAAATGATTGTTTTGTTACTTTGACTCTTCGAGTTCCTCAGTTCTGGATGATCCTTCTGTCTCAAATTTGGCTTTCCACTGCATAACCTCGCCGTTGGCCTTGGACAATTGACGTTGGATGCTTGTACGGCTCTCCTGTTCCTCCTCTAGTTGCATCTGCAGGCTCTCCACCTCCCCCCGTAGGTGTCGGCCCTCAGCCTGGACCTTCTGGCGGATCTGTTGAAGGGAATGAAGGAGATTATCACTGTGTGAACAGTAGCAATAGTTAGTGTGTAGTACAGATTAAGATTCCAGTAAATAGATACGTTGCCTATACAGTAAACATAAATCCATAAATTGTGTCCACTTTGTCATCCGTCATCTTCTAAGTAATACCTATCAAACAATTCACAGATTAAGATTACGTTAGACAGATTTTTGAAGTTCACAAGAACTATTAGGAGTATACATTTGTAAGCATTGAATTGTTATATATACCTTAGTCTCATCTTCCATGGAGCGCTTGCATTCTTCCAGTTGGCCGCCCAGAGAAGATTTTTCCTTGTGGGTTCTACTGAGGGTACGTTCCGTCTCCTCCAGCTGACGTGTCACTTCGGTCACCTCAGAAGTAAGTCTGTTCTTCTGAGACTGTAGCTCAGTGAATTGGCGGGCACCATCATCTAGCTGAGCATTGAGGTCAGCCAAATGAATCTGCATCTGTTTGGACACCACATCTGAGCAGCCCTGGAATTGGATTACATAATGTTATCATTTTACGAGTTATGTTGAGGTAATAAATATGAATATTTTGATTAATTTTAATTTTAATGATGCGACTTTAATGACTTTCATGTTACAGGTGCTCGGGAATACACGAGAAGACGATCCAATGCGACATATACGGTGAAAAAATAAAATCTGTTATACATTTCAAGACACAAGTGTTAACGGAGATAATTTGAAATTTTCTAATAATTACCTTGTTCTTTGCGTGCTCTAGTTCCGTTTGCATGTCATCAAGCTCAGTCGCCAGCTGCATCTTCTCCTTCTCAACCCTGGAATTGATGGACGATAATAATTGTCAACAACAGAATATTCATAATAGCTGCAAGTAATCATCATCCCTGTCTATCCCTTCTTTATTCATCAGTTTCGGTTGTGTCGCACTTCGGATAACTCAAAGTATTTACGTAGGTCCCTTCAACTTCGACGCCATAATGTTTACGCAGCTGGTCGCAAGAATGTAACATAATTTCATCTTAGTTGGTAAAGTGATAATAGTAATAGACACATGCATTTTCAAAGGAAGCTTGAACACACCTCATTTTTGTTTTCTGCAACATATCAATTTGTTCGCTCATTTCATTGGCAGAGTCTGTGTTCTTCTTGCGGATGGTAGCCACCTGGGCCTCATGGTGCATATTCGTCTCCTCCATCTCACGACGGAGTTTCACCAGCTCCTGCTCCCGCTTCTTATTCAGCTCAATCTGCACACAAACAAATATGTATGTAATAATGTGGTTCCTTATGCACCAGCGTGGTTCATTACCATTTATGTTGATTTGTATAACTAATGGTTTTCTCACAATAATCTTGCTTCATACATGGTTTTACATTACATATGTATGATGTCAATATGCCCCGAGGAGCTCTGTGATACTGTAATGCTAGTGTGACCTGAGCAGCTGTGTGATACTGTAATGTTAGTGTGACCTGAGCAGTTGTGTGATACTGCAATGCTAGTGTGACCTGGGTAGTTGTGTGATACTGTAATGCTAGTGTGACCTGAGTAGTTGTGTGATACTGCAATGCTAGTGTGACCTGGGTAGTTGTGTGATACTGTAATGTTAGTGTGACCTGATCAGTTGCGTGAGACTGTAATGCTAGTGTGACCTGATCAGTTGTGTGATACTGTAATGCTAGTGTGACCTGATCAGTTGTATGGTACTGTAATGCTAGTGTGACCTGAGTAGTTGTGTGATACTGTAATGCTAGTGTGACCTGAGTAGTTGTATGATACTGCAATGCTAGTGTGACCTGGGTAGTTGTGTGATACTGTAATGTTAGTGTGACCTGATCAGTTGTGTGATACTGTAATGCTAGTGTGACCTGATCAGTTGTGTGATACTGTAATGCTAGTGTGACCTGAGTAGTTGTGTGATACTGTAATGCTAGTGTTACCTGAGTAGTTGTGTGATACTGTAATGCTAGTGTGACATGAGCAGTTGTGTGATACTGTAATAATAATGCTAGTGTAAGCTGAACAGCTGTGTGATACTGTAATGCTCGTGTGATCTGAACAGCTGTATGATACTGTAATGCTCATGTGACTTGAACAGCTGTGTGATACTGTAATGGTAGTGTGACCTGAGCAGCTGTATGATACTATAATGCTGGTGTGACTTGAACAGCTGTGTGATACTGTAATGCTCGTGTGACTTGAACAGCTGTGGGATACTGTTAAGGTAGTGTGACCTGAGCAGCTGTATAATACTATAATGCTGTTGTGACTTGAACAGCTGTGTGATACTGTAATGGTAGTGGCCCCTGAGCAACTGTATGATACTGTAATGCTGGTGTGACTTGAACAGCTGTGTGATACTGTAATGCTCGTGTGACTTGAACAGCTGTGTGATACTGTAATGGTAGTGTGACCAAAGCAGCTGTGTGATACTGTAATGCTCGTGTGACTTGAAAAGCTGTGTGATACTGTAATGCTCGTGTGACTTGAGCAGCTGTGTGATACTGTAATGGTAGTGTGACCTGAGCAGCTGTATGATACATTGTAATGCTCGTGTGACTTGAGCAGCTGTATGATACTTTAATGCTGGTGTGACTTGAGCAGCTGTGTGATACTGTAATGGTAGTGTGACCTGAGCAGCCGTGTAATATTGTAATGCCCGTTTTACCTGAGCAGCTGTAGCGCCCCCGGCTTCGTCCAGACGCTCATGGAGTTCCTCCAATTCCCTCGCTAGCTCCATTCTTTGCTTCTCAACCTGACACAGAGAGATACTATGTATGAATAAAGTGTGCCATGAATCCTTAATTGCATTTGTAGATTCAGACTCAAAGTGAAAGTTTCTTTTTACATATCATTATTATGTATTTCAGAAAATGTGGATGTTGCAGGACTATTGTACCGATCTGTTGAATTTGCCCCGGGTTTTCCGTACGACAAGCCACCACATTAACATATACGCCCCTCCATGGGTCATAACTGTCACGTGGTTGGTATCACACACACCTTTCCTCGTGTTTGTTTTTCAGACTCCAATTCCTGTTCAGACTCATCAAGACGATTCTGAAACATGAAATGAGTTGTTAATAATATGAGATTATTTGCAAATAAATATAATAATGAACTATTCTAAATATATTTGACAAATCATGCTCATCTATCTTAAGGATATATATACGTTTAGAAAAATAGTATAATTATAGACGTATGTAGGACATTACCTGCAGTTCCTTGATTTTCTTCTGCAGTTGGCTGCAATGGGTCTGTTCCTCCTCCAAGAGATTATTGAGGTTAGATATTTCCTTATCCTTCCTAAAAAGGATATCACATATTTTTATATCGAATAGTTCGGAAGCAGCATCCTTTAAGATCAGGTAATAGTGTTTCAAGAGTGACATATTTGTAAAACAGCAATCAAATTCATTGCCTACATCTAATACACAATGTGCTTATCATGACTGCGACTTCAAGTTGACAGTTTGCAGGTTGTGATAGAAAGACAATGAATCGTTACCTCTTGCCAGATTCCTGAAGCTCCACTTTGATATGTTCAAGGTCCTGAACAGCCTCTAGTGTTGCCTTCAGATCCTGTTCAAGCTTTCTTTTCGCTTTCTCAACATCTCCTCGAACCTTCTTTTCACGTTCCAGAGCATCCTCAAGATCATCAAGTGTTCCTTCAAGCTTCGTCTTCAGTTTGTTGAGGTGATGCACCTTGTCTTCTTCGGCCTGGAGTGAATCTACAGTTTTCTTGTGCTCATCTTCAAGGTTCTTCTTGCTTTTTGATAGCTTAGACATTGCTTCTTCTAGCTGTGTCATTTCATCATTGAGGGTCCTGATCTGCGCATCTTTAGTCTTGCACTCGTGTTCAGCCTATAGATTAAAAAAATATATTTGGTGAGAAGGCTATCCCTTCCCATAAACTTTTAAGCAGGGGGTCGTAAAACATTAATATTTTCAGTTATTTAATAAAGAAATAAACGACGAGTGGGAGTTGTTTACTATGGGGCGTAGAAAATAATAATAATGTGTTTCGATCCCCTGTTTAAAATGAGGAGTGCATATACTTGATTGACACACTGACACAATTACCAGCAGGAAGACATGTATCAAAGATTTTTTTATCTTATGTTAATTGTCCACATGTGATCCAAGGGTTGGCAATGACTATGATACTGTCCTGTATGAATGAGTAGCTTTGATTTAATGGATGTGTCTTGGTTCTTATTTAGTCTTCTTTGTGTCATGTCAGTAAGGCCTAGTTTTCATCTCTCTGGTTAAAATATCATACTTTCCGCTTGACGAAAGTTGGCATCTATAATCATAGAGGGCTGTATACTCAAACACTTAAATTCATACACACCTTAGTCAAACTGCACTCAATGGTATCTACATGAGTCGTCATGCTATCAAGTTGACCTTCCAGAACTTTCTGTTTTTCAATCACTTTGTCATGAGCATCCTCTTCGTCCAGAAGTTTATTCTCAAGATCTTTGTTTTGTTGTTCCATATCTTCCTTCTGTTGAAGGAGTTGCTCAATCCTTTCTTCGCAGTCATCAATGGTGTCTTGTTGGGTTTGCACCTGAAGAAACAGGTTATTTTTGGCTTCGCTCAAGGTCACACTCTGTTCCTCAAGCTCCTTGCACCTCTGGGTCACCTTCTCAAGTTCACCCTTTGTTTTACCAAGTGCTTCCTCCTTCTGTTTCATCTCGTCCTCAGCAGCAGCAACACTCAGGAGTGGCTTGACCTTGGTGTAGAATCTCCACCAACACCAGTTCCTCATGGCAAGCCACTTTCGGATGTTCTTCTGGATCAGTTCCAAAGCAACTCTGGAATATACAGGACATTCATTTCATTTCAATGTCATACAATTAGATTACGCATCCGTCAAGCGAAACAAAACAGTAAGCGTTGATTAAGATTGTATATATTAGCATTGTTTTTTTATGATTGAACATTGTATTTGGATCTTACCTCTTGTCATGCAGATTCTTCAGATATTTCCTCATAAGATAACCTCGAATGTGAGCTTGAAACAAAGCCACAATAACGGAGAGACGTTCATCACGTATTTCCTCCAGGTAACCAAGAACACCAGCTTTGAAGAACACCTTGGTGTTACCAAGACGGAACTCGTCTTGATTCATCTCCAGAGCTTCAAGAATCTTGCCAGATACGACTTTACCTTCAACAAATCCTTCCGGAATGGCACTCGGAGCTAAGATTGAATATCTGGAAGAAACGATTCTTAGTATAAACATATGTCAAGAGACATAATACATGAGAAAGGTTATGTTAGCATATATCTTTGCTGGCTAAATCTAATAGTATTGAAATGCATTCTGATACTGTTACTGACACTTTGAAATTCATTATTTAAGAATGACAGGCATTGTAATCCTACCTCTGTTTGAACTCTGAGTAGATGATCCTGCTGGGGAATCCCTTTCTGCAGATACGGATTCCCTCAAGTACACCATTACACTGCAGTTGGTGAAGCACTAGGCTGGCATCAATCAGACCTGAATACCACGTGAGATTGATATTTACAGCATGATAGAGTGTATTCATCGCTAGCTGTCAAAATCGGTAAGGTAACGATTTTATAAGATTCAAATGTAGTATTTTAGTCTTCATGTAATCTTCGTTCCAAAGTGCAATATTTAATTAAGATCAAAACGTGCAGTACAAAATTGAAAAGCGGATTTGATATAGTATAATTCAATAGATTGCAAGTTGAATTATACCTGGTGTCTTGGTCTCGTTGGGGATGATACAGCGTACGAAGTGAGGATGTGTGGAGTAAAGGTTCTTCATGAGCTTGTTCAAAGATTCCTAAAGGATGTTAACATAAAACATGTTTAGAAAACAAGATCAGTTCAAAGGTAAGCAATGTAATATATATGTCATTTACTAAATAGAATGCTATATAGGTGTTAAATAGACAGTTTTGCCTTTTTACATATGCACTTCAGTATGTTAGATTCCAACAGAAAGCATGTACCCTGTGAGTGGCAGAGATGGTTTGGAAAGCAGAGCTCTTCTTTTTCTTCTTGCCAGCTCCGGCCTCAGCAGTGGCATCTTAAAACATAGACAAGTTGATATAGTTACAATGATACTTATGACTGAGCAGGGACGTATATAATTTTAGTTCAGTTTTTAAATGGTTTTAAAATTGAAGACAGAACAGTTTAAACAATATCATCGTTATGCACAAAATGGGTTATTTCAGTATTATGAAATTAATGTCTTCTTCAATTATTGTTCAGCCATGTTAACCAAGCTCATCAATCTATTTTGTTTTGTGAAAACAAACCTCCTGCAGGTGGAGAGAAGAGCAACTGGACAAGTGGTTCTTTGGATTGTTTCAGGAGATCCACAATGGTCTCGTTGACAGGGTCTTTGTTCTTCTCCAGCCAGCCTCCGATGTTGTAGGGTACAGTTCCGGCGTAGTGCTTCAGGGCGAAGTCACCATGTGCACCACCCTTCATTGACTTGTTGGGCTTTAGGAAGTTGGGTGATTTGCCCATGTGATTCTGAGTCAGTTTGTCCTTGAAGGTCTTGTCAGAGGCCTTAGGGAACATGCACTCCTCTTCCAGTATGGACAGGATACCGAGGGGCTGGACATCAATTATAATAACGATATATTCTAATTGCCAAAATGATGAAATAATGTAAACATGATTAACGTTATGAACATCAATATTCAGGTTTGTTTGTTGTTGCTTTGGAAATGTTGAAAATATAAAATATATAAGAATTGGAATGAGCATGTACCTTCTCGATGAGCTCAATACAGGCCTGCAAATCCATGCCGAAGTCAATGAATTCCCATTGGATGCCCTCTTTCTTGTATTCTTCCTGCTCCAGCACAAACATGTGGTGGTTGAAGAACTGCTGCAGACGCTCGTTGGTGTAGTTGATGCACAGTTGCTCGAAACTGTTGAACTGTTCAATAGAATTGATGAATTGATATATTGATCAAATGTTTTACGTTCAGGAATGCTTTTATATCATGATCCAATTTAAGACACTAAAAATCATATCAACGGCCTTACATCAAAGATTTCGAAGCCCGCAATATCCAGCACACCAATGAAGAATTGCCTGGGTTTCTTTGTGTCCAGGGAGTGGTTGACTCTCTTGACCAGCCAGTTGAACACACGATCATACAGGGACTTCGACAAGGCACCGATAGAATAGAGGACCTGGTCCTTGGTTCGACCTTGGGTAACGTAATCCATGGCCACCTTGATCTTGGGTTTACACAAAGCCTTCAGGAAGTCACCACAGTTGACACCCAACAGGAAGGAAACCTTCTCAGCCTCAGCAGTTCCATCAGCCTCAGCCTGTTCACCCTTCTGCTTGAACTGCATCTCGCCCATGTGGAGGATAGAGCCAGTGCATTTGTAGGCGCTAGTTTTCTCCTCCGGAGTGAATCCCAGGACATCAAAGGCAGCCTAAAAACAGTTAGATTTTTTAATATGAACACAATCTAAAACAATTGCACATAACAGTTTGATCATCAATATTCTAATCTCCAGCGGTGCCATAATGAAACTTACATCAGTCATCTTCATTTCCTCTACATCGTCGATTCCATTGACGGTGAGAACTCCCTGGTTTATGAATGTGAAAAGTCCAGCATCTGGATTGGCCAAAATCGTTTCTGAAATCAAAAGCATATTTCATAGATATCCTTATGTCAAGATATATATATATATATGTGTGTGTGTGTGTGTGTGTGTGTGTGTGTGTGTGTGTGTGTGTGTGTGTGTGTGTGTGTGTGTGTGTGTGTGTGTGTGTGTGTGTGTGTGTGTGTGTGTTTCTGCTTGTACTAGTCCTGACCGATGCCGATTTTATAGGGCTAACCCACTGAGATACCATGCCGCAGTTTAACATCAATACCCCATTCAGACACAGTATGCTGATTCCGAGCAGACCAGTCTTAGTTTTACCCCCTTAATGCCGCGTACCAGACAGTACAAACTTTAAGAACATGTACCAACTCTTAACCTCTGTTGGTATGACGCGGCCGGGAATCGAACCCCGGACCTTCCGCTCTTCGGGGGGACGCTCTACCACCAGACCACGCAGGCGGTCAGTTCGGGTCAGTATAACCAGGTTTAATTATGTAAGGAAGCATCTGAAGCTGCATGAGACTTTATAGTAAGAAAGGCATGGTATACCAGTGGGACGGTTTTTGTTGCTTGGATAATAGGTCACAGGTGCATGTACACATGGACCCGATTGAACCCAACGCATGTAACCCTGATATAGGAAATAGTATTGCTGCAAGGTGTAAACAACCATTCATAAACATATGCTATGTGATTAGGAAGAAGAGCGTAAACTACAAACAATTTACCGTAATTATTGCAATTACGAGACTATGATAACTAACCTGCAACTGATGGCAAAGCACCAGACAGCATCTGGTAGAAGATGTGGTAGTTTCTCTCCACAGACTGTTGGTAGGTGACACGGGATTTTTCCAGTAGATCTGAAGAAGAATAATGATTTCCAAGTTTGATGAACATGTATTTTGATATGTATCATTAACAAAATCCAGTGCAGAAAATGAGGGAGTTTTACGACTCTCTAGTAATATCCATGCCAAATCACAGAAGAGGACACAGAGAAATTAGTTTCCGTAGAAACATTTCAACTCCGATTACGTAAAATATTACTGTTGGTTTGTATATTATGCACGCTTACATTGTTCCGTCATAATCATTAAGCACGATCGTGCAAGAGTATGAAAGATTAAAAACTATCATCAATATAACAATAACCCATTATTGATCGTGAAAATGTTTTTATAACTTACAAGTTTCGATGTCGGCACCAGCAATTTTCCCAGAAGAAGCAAAGTGGATTCGGACAAATTTACCCTAAAGAAAGGTAAGATTCACATTTTGAGTAACATTGTCAAATCATTCACTTGAAAGAAAATTGAACTCATACAGTAGTATAGATAATCGTTATTACCTAATTTTACTTGTATTTGTTTGGATCTGTCAGTCATTATTTAGGTGAGGCGTTCATGAATAGTGTGTTAAAAACTTACGAATCTGGAAGAGTTGTTGTTACGGGATGTCTTGGCGTTACCGTAGGCCTCAAGAACAGGGTTAGCCTGCACGATCTGATCCTCGAGGGAACCCTGGAATCAGACATGACGATTATAAATAACACTTGGTTTTGTCATCATTTGATCATCAGAAACGGTTCCTTTCAGTATTTGCAATTTATAAAAACCCAGTTTCATTCACCTTCTTTTCCTCTTGTTCTCCCTCTCCCTTGGAGGCAGCGGCGACAAAAGCGAAGTAGGCGATGACCTTCTTGGTGTTCTCAGTCTTTCCTGCACCAGATTCGCCGCTGGGTGAGATATAAGTATGTGTAAATATGCAACCGTTAAGAGAATAATCTAGTCTTAGATCTGTGCATATGCTACCCAGCAAAATACGATTTATTACTTGATTTACTGTTTACGTATTTTCGAATACGTTGTCTCGCTTGTTACACACACAAGACTGTATGGATACATGGGTGAGTGTTCCAGTTATATCAAGTTGTTTTAACTTTTAATGGGAGGAAACGCTCAGTGACTGAGGTAGAAGACGCAAACCTGAGTGCACTGGTATGGTGCTGACAAACCAAGGTTAGCGTGCTACTGTGTAAGCAGTTCAGTATCACCTGATCCAGCCTTGCACACCATAAGAACACACAAATTAGATAAGAAAGAAACGTATCAGGGCGATACTCACGTGATAAGCATGGACTGGTTTTCTCGTTCTGAAATCAAAACAAATATAGGATTATAGTTACAAATGATAATGTTTTTTTAATATGTTTTGGTGTATGCACACATTCTCAAGTGTCACTTTAATATGTTTGTTCATTACTTGTAGTATTCACAACAGGTGCGATATGCCAACGTTTGCATTTGTTACATCAGCTTCTCCACTTAAAATTATAATTCAAAACTCAAAATTAAAACTGAACTAAACCTTACCTTGGACCATGAACTGGTAGGCGTTGTCCGAGATGGAGAACAAGTGAGGAGGCATCTCGGTCTTCCTCTTGCCCCTGTACTTGGCCACGATGGACGGGGTGTAGATGGGGAGACGGCGGTAGGGGTTGATGGCGATACAGAACAGGCCGGAATAGGTCTAAAATTATGCATTTGTCATCCAGTTATTTAATTCCAAAGGAGAATAACTTATGGGTATGTTTGATGGAAAATAGTTGATTGAAAAAGTGAATTTTAATGCTACAGTAAATTGAAAGAAAACAATGAATAGTATCCAATTTACTCACATAGATCAACCCAGATGTATATCTGCTTCTCAAGTTGTACAGAACGCTGGCCTCGTTGAGGAAGGTCATGTTGGCGATGTCTTCGATCTTCTCGAACTTTGGAGGGTTCATCGACTGGATGTCATCCTTCTTAACCGTCTTCGTCTGTGAGTATCATAAATGTTTGTTATGCTAATAGTATATGTTTAAGATAGTAAGATACGTGTACACCGATCGGAACATGAAACGGTCAGTTCTTGTTGAGAATATGCTCCTCATTCGGGGATAGAAATAAATAGCATTTTGTGCATTACTGCCTTAACAGCAATGTTATAAACTTACTAACAAAGAAATGTGTGTCATTGGACGGACCTGTTTTGAATCAACAATGAGGACGGTGCATTCCTCTCCTTTCGTACTCTGCAGTTCTGCAGCAACAAAGCCCTGCTCTGCATCATGTATCCAGCAAGACTTCTTGGCATCAAAGTTTTGCTTCTGCTCCTTCATCAGCTTCTTGCGGTCCACAGCAAGATACTGCATCTCAGGGTCGGCAGGATCGTAGGAAGCCATGTTGTTACAGTCGAAGTGAAACCGAAACGAAGAATGTGACCGTCGACCAGCTCTGTGAAAAATATGAGACCGATGTGACAAACAGTGATAGTTAACACAAAGAACACGAGCTTGCCTACAGGACAAGATATAGAGCCAAAGCTCTATTTTTTAATTACATATGTGTTGGCCAAGCAAATCAAGAGATATGTGACAATATATTCTCAACTATAAAACTCAATTTCTGTTCATACATTCCGTCCCATCATGTTTCTATTTGTAATACTAATAGACGTACATTTCTAGACAGTTCCGAATATATTGTGCCACACCTTCATATTCTAACTGCGTATGCAAGTAACAAAACAAACAGAAGTCTTCAGAATTTGAGATGACACAGGCTTCTTGGCAAATACCCTACGGTTTAACACTGAAGTATAGACGTCAATCCAGGTCTTGAAATGAAAAAGAAAGAATCTTACTCCAACCCACAGGCAGTTACTATACTCACGGTTCGAGCTGTTCTGCTGTGGTGGCAGCTATGATAGGTATATATACTAGATGGAATCTATATGCTTACCATCAGTTATATAATGATGTAATCAGATCTACCCGACGGTAGACTAATGGAACGGTCGACGGAAAAGTAGCAGGGTAGCGGAAGGTCGGGGCGACGGGTGAGCAGGGGATCCGACGCATGGGGAGGGATATCTGGTTGTCTCTGACGAATGATTATTAAATAATTAACAATACCCCTTGCAACCACCTGTGGAACTTCCCTGATATTGTATCCTGATATTGGTAATACCGGTTTAAGGAAATACAAATGTGACGGGACTATGGCAATAACATGACATGTGGTTAGTATATGACTTGAGAATTTCTGGTGCGCAGCTAAGGCCTAATTGTCCTCTGAGATATGGACGGGCTTTGCAGGGACAATGACATCCATGATAGAGTGTCTATGTTATCGTCAACACTCGATGTACCAATAAATACTCAAATTGTTTTCTCTTTCAAACTGTTGTTCATCGCTACTAGGGTATGAAAGGTCACCATAACATGCGTAAAGAACCCTCAAATTTGCTAAACAGATTTTTTTTAAAGGATAATCTCCAGAAAGCCTGAGGACGTATCTTTAGCTTAATGTTCCACCGGTACACACTAAGCCTTCAGGGAAAGAGAGAAGACTTCAACTCCCTGCATGCTAGATATAAACATGAATCAAATAGGGATCCTTTTGAGTATATTACATATTCAAAACAATTGTACGTGTTTTTCTTCATATGTCGTGAATGAGACAAAAAAAGAGTTCCAAGGACAATTGAGAAGAGATCTGGTGATGTCGTACATCCATGTATGCGTGTTAAACATGCTTTGATTGTAGACATGTGGTGGATTTCCAAATTTGACGCATCAGTGAAAATAAGTATGTCCAATAGAATTCTTTATTATGACTTGTATTATATCTTCCCATATGTTATTCATGTGAACCCTTCACTTGCCTTTGCATGTGTTTGTGAGCATACGCTCACCTTTTCGCGAACACCTGGTATCATCGCTATTCGATAGTGATTCATAAACACCTGCTCATGATGTAGTCCAAATACAATGAAATCTTGTTTTTGGCAGAGATGTCTTATGATTATGGAAATGTTTTTTTGTCGCTTGTATTAACAGAGAAACCGCTTGTTTTTTTGTATTGGTGACATACAATTGTCGATATCAAGTGTCTAATACTGCTTGGTCCAAAAAAAAAATAGCCAACGAGCTAAGAGGATTTTCATTTTATCTGTACCGAGTGAATGAATGGGTTTATATATAAAATTCATGAGGGAGAAATGATTGGCAATTATCCAGTTTCGAACAGGCTATTCTATTGATTATTCATTGCCATTTGAAAATTAATATGAAAAAATATATACGACATATCAACCATACAGAGAAACGTCACCGAAGTTAACCTATTATTCAGATGACGTAATTTTGTCAATGGGTGACGGTGCATATGAACAATTAACACGAACAATCGATGACATCATATCGTATTATCCTCAACAGTGAACCAATGCGACTTCATATCACTGGACCCGTGAAAATCCGGGGTAGAATAGGTCTTCAGCAACCCATGCTTGCCGTAAAAGGCGACTGTGCTTGTCGTAAGAGGCGACTAGCAGTCTGGCTCGCTGACTTGGTTGATGCATGTCATCGTATCCCAGTTTCGTAGATCGATTCTCATTGCGTCAATCACTGGATTTTCTAGACTCGATTTTTTACAGACCGCCGTCATATAGCTGGAATATTGCTGAGTGCGGCGTTAAACAACAAACAAACAAACAAATCAGGTGAAATTGGCATTACAGCATCACACAGCTCCTCAGGTCATATTGACATCATACATGTGTAATATAAGAATATTGTGAGAAAATCATTAGTTATACAAATCAATATAAATGGTAATGAACCACGTTGGTGCATAAGGAACCACATTATTACATACATATGTTTGCAGATTGAGCTGAATAAGTAGCGGGAGCAGGAGCTGGTGAAACTCTGGTTGATGCATGTCATCGTATCCCAATTGTTGGATCGATGCTCTTAATGTCAATTACTGGATTATTTCCAGACCGCCGTCGTATAGCTGGAATATTGCTGAGTGCGGCTTTGAACAACAAACAAATAACATCACTGACCAATGTGCATTGAGAATCGCAAAAATGGAAAATTCGGAAGTTATAACATATATATTTTCTACCCTTATAGGATATATATTTATTTAATTCTTTCCGGTGTGGCAAACAAAGTGTATGTTGTCCCCGAAGTAATGATAACAAACGGCAACGCAGCGAACCATATGCAACATTGTAATATCCCAAGGAAATCAAGCATTGTCTAACGAATTATTTCAACACAGAATGCAACCCTAGAATGAATATATTGTTGAATCTCATAAATTAGGCTATCTAACAACCTAACCGGATTATTAACATGTACACAACCTTATGAAAATACTGAATGAGAAAAATATCAGTTCCAAAAATGCGTCGAAAACATTTTCAAAAAATTTCGAATTTAGGATTGATATTTGGTATTGCGCCGATAGGGAGGATAGCTCCTTCAATGACAATATGTTGCGTCCTCATTAGTGTTATATAATTGACCTTTTACCAAAAGAATATTTTGATTATGTCTTACATATAACAACTATGGTATCATACACAGTAACAATGTTTGGTACGATAAGACAACAGAGTCAACCTTCTAAGTGAGGGGGGCGGTCGGGTAGCCTAGTGGTTATAGGGTTGGCTCGTCACGCCGAAGACCCGGGTTCGATTCCCGACGTTGGTACAATTTGTGAAGCCCATTTCTGGTGTCCCCCGCCGTGATATTGCTGGAATATTGCAAAAAGCGGTGTAAAACCATACTCACTCACTCACGCTAAATGAGCACAGAAACAAATAACATGATCAGAAAGCTTTGAGCAGATCATGATAATTTCTTTACTGAAAACGATTTGTTGACACCAAAATATGCTCACTGTTGAAACGAAGGCAGTCTGTGTTTATATAATAAAATAAGCGGTAACGAATTTGACGATAAGTGACAATTAAAAATGTATTACAGCGATTAAAATGTACGGACGCTTCTTGGATTTATTAAGGTACAGTACGTTTTCTTAGTGCATTATTCCTGTCATTGACTGGATGCCTGACATTTATCTGAACTTAACAAAACTGGAATCAGTACATCTGTGACACTAGTTCTCTGACTTTAGTAGAAAGTCTTTCCCCCCAAAGTTGAATATCAAGCTGTTGGAGCAACACCCTCCAACCAGGTGACGTGGTCTGGACATCAGACTTGAGTAGTCCAGCTGACCAGTTCCAAATGACCCAGAAGTGACGTCCTGACACCTATTTTCTGTCTGTTTCAACCACTTTGGTCACAAGAGTTGGCCGATTCGGCGCATCTACATGTGGCAGGCAACGAGCAGTAATCAAATCAATATCAATATTAATACTACGCAAGTCGAACTCAGGTAGGCCGAAGCAATGTATTCCTGGAGAAGAAAATCCTAATTGTTTACGTCAGCATAAAGTAATGAATCACGAACAATATAAGCAGCTATAATTAACTTAGATGTATTGAGGACCAAGTAAAAAAATATCTACTGTTTCTCAGGGACAGTATGTTGTTTCCTTTCTTCCGTGTTTCTGAAGTGAAGGTTTTACATATTTTAAAAAAAGTTATCTATTTCCCAACCTGTTGCTACAACGCACGCCGGCCTACACTCACTAAAACACATGCAAATTTCATTAACGAACATATCATATTTCCTCGCTGGCAGGAACAGTAATAATAAGTTAAGAGCGGCACGCGAAGACACTCAGCATTCCTCCCAGCCCTACAACGCCCCCCACCCTCTCACCAGGAGCCCCCCCTCCCCCCCTCCCCCCCCCGTACGTTTACTGGTCGCAGGGGGGTGCCTGCGCGTGTTTCATTGCCCCTGTCACAGGGAACAGCCACGGAGCCACAATCTATCGGCCTAAATTTGCCAGTTTACAGACTAGGTAGTCTGTCGAGTAAATAAACGTGGTATAATGAGGTATCTGCGCGCTTCCCCAAACGTCACGCTTTCAGAGTTATTACTAGATAAAAAGAAACAGGTTTCACGGTATAGTGATGCACTCCCTGACAAGCCGTGTTGGAAGAGTATTCAAGGTTTCCAGCTTTTGCCGAATAGCTGACTCTCTGTAGGCTTATGTCATTCAGGTGATGTGTTATCAAAACGGTTTTAAAGAAACATTTTTATCTCAGCATGTGAGTCTTAAATCCAATTAACAAAAACAGTTGCACAATCGTGGAATTTAGATGACTCTGATTCAGTTACGCCTGAACAAGAAATGAGAAATACAAGAACATTACATGTACATTACATAAACAGGGCAATCTCAGACGGCATTACACCTTCGCTAAATATACTGTGTACAAACAGAGCCAATTCTCGTTCTATTGGCTTCGAAGGTA